GTCTGCTCCAGTTTTGATCAATTCCCTTCTATGTATTTCTCCAATTTTCCATATTAATGTAGCAGTGTTGGTGTGATGGGATGCGGGGTATGTTTTGCTGCTGAAGCAGCCTTAAAGTGTACCCGTTTGTCCTTCAAGATCCACTTAACCATATCCTGTAAAGCCAACATTTATTTCCTAGGGGCACCCAAGGCTCACCTGAAACATTAATACAATATTTTGACTTCTGTACTGCCTATGTCCTTTGAATGATCTATCTTAACCCGTATTTAATTATTTTTAGCACACCTTAACTGGACATAGCGGTAAGGTTTTGTCTGCCAAATTCTTACTGGACAACGCTCGAATTGTGTCTGGTAGCCATGACCGGACATTAAAACTCTGGGACCTGCGCAATAAAGTCTGTAAGTATTTTACTTTTACATACAAACTGAAAAAGACAGTAGGGATTCCTCTTTAACATTTACCTGTATTTTCAAGGATAGCTTTATTTTTAAAATGCCCCCTTGCTGTCCTTAGCCAAAATGGAAGATAACCTGCAGTGTTCAGATGCACCTTTCTTGGGATCAGACTGCTTTGGCCTGACCAGAGCTGATTATTAGTATTCTTTCTCATCTGTAGCTTTACTGCTGCACAGCTCCAAACTCTGACGCACCCCATTGTTCTCTATCACAGTTGTGATGTCTGGAGCGTCTCTGACTTTAGTAATCTGTGCTCAGAAAGGCTATTTTTGTACATACTTTTTTTCTCCACTCAAGCCTTCAAAAAAAAGTTTTGGCTTCATTTGAACTTTAGGTGAAATAACACAACAAATGTTTAAGGTGCACCTCAGGGAAAGGCGGGTGGGGGAGATCCATTTCTCTCCCGTTCATTGAAGGACACAGGGAACAGATCGGAGATCATGTACTGTAGGGTAATATCGCCACCTGCAGGAGAAGGACGCTAGGCACAAAACTAAAGACCAATTACAGCCTGGGGCGGCCCCTGCCGGTGGCCAAACCCCCCCACCTGCTGACAAGTCTCCAGTTTTTGCCTAGCGTCAGGAGTAAGGAGCTAAGAATTTTTTCTCGGAGACCTTCATGGCGCGGCGGCGTGTCTTTTGTCCCAAGGGGTGGTGGTTCCGGTACCCTCCTCGGAGAGGTTCAGAGGGTTTTATTCCAACCTGTTTACGGTACCAAAGAAGGATGGGGTTCGTCCCGTCCTGGACCTCAAGCGGTTGAACGTCTTTGTGCGTGTTCGAAGGTTCCGGATGGAATCAATCCGCTCTGTGGTGGTGTGTCTTCATCAGGGGGACTTCATGGCCTCACTCGACATCAAGGATGCCTACCTTCACGTTCCTATCTGTACCTCCCACCAACGCTACCTTCGCTTTGCGGTGGGGGACGACCATTACCAGTTTGTCGCTCTGCCCTTCGGTCTGACATCAGCGCCTCGGGTGTTCATCGAGGTGTTGGCCCCGATTCTGGGCCTGTTGCGTTGTCGGGGGATCTCGGTGGTGGGGTACCTGGACAACCTCCTGCTGAAGGCGGAGTCGCATTCCTCTCTGGTGGCGGATCTGGCGATCACCGTTCGGTCGTTGGAGGAGTTCGGCTGGCTCCTGAACTTCCAGAAGTCTTGCCTTGTGCCGGCCACTCGTTTGGAGTATCTGGGGTTGATTCTGGACTCCGCCTCGGCTCGGGTTTTCCTGCCCCCCGAGAAGCTTCGCTCGCATGTGGCACTGTTACAGGCGCGTCGGTGGTCGACGATCCGCTTTTGCATGAAGGTCCTAGGCCTCATGGTGGCTTCCTTCGAAGCAGTGCCTTACGCTCAGCATCACACGCGGGTTCTGCAGAGGACCATCTTATCGCTATGGGACAAGTCCCCTTCGTCCCTGGACCAGGCGGTTCGGGTGTCTCTGGAGGCGAGGGCCGCCCTGGTCTGGTGGCTTCAGTCCCTGTCTCTGGTGTTGGGCAAGTCCTTCCTTCCCATTCACTGGACAGTGGTCACCACAGATGCCAGCCTGTTGGGCTGGGGGGGCGTCCTGGACGACTCAGGGCTGTTGGTCATTGGAGGAGTCTCGACTCTCGATCAACGTGCTGGAACTTCGGGCGATTCGCCTCTCCCTTCATTGGACGGGCCGTCTTCAGGGGCGGCCGGTCCGGGTTCAGTCGGACAACGCCACGGCCGTGGCTTACGTCAACCATCAGGGCGGCACAAGAAGTGTGGCCGCGGCTCGGGAAGTCGAAAGAATTCCATCTTGGGCGGGGGAGCATGTTCCGGCTCTCTCCGCCGTGTACATTCCGGGCGTGGAAAATTGGCAGGCTGACTATCTCAGTCGCCAGTCGGTGGATCCAGGGGGGAATGGATGCTACATCCGGAGGTGTTTCATCAGCTTTGCCTTCGCTGGGGGTTCCCGGACGTGGATCTCCTGGCGTCTCACCTCAATCGGTGTGTCGATCGGTTCATGGCCAGGACCCACGATCCTTGGGCGGATGCGGTGGACGCCCTGGTGGCGCCGTGGGATTGCTACGGTCTGATTTACGCATTCCCTCCACTGTATCTGTTACCGCGTCTCCTTCGCAGGATCGCGGTAGAAGGCGTCCCGGTCATCCTCGTGGCTCCGGATTGGCCGAGGAGGGCGTGGTACGCAGATGTGGTTCGGTTAGTGGCGGACGTCCCCTAACGCCTGCCGCTTCGTCCGGATCTTCTATCTCAGGGTCCGGTATTCCATCCGCCTTTACAGTCGTTGGCTTTGACGGCGTGGCTGTTGAGAGCCAGGTGTTGAGGGATCGTGGTCTCTCGGATGCGGTTATCTCTACGATGTTGCGGGCTCGCAAGCCCGTGTCCCGAAGGATTTACCATTGAACATGGAAGGCTTATTTTGCCTGGTGTGAGTCGGTTGGATTTCCGCCTCGTTTGTTTTCCGTTTCCAGGATCCTCGCTTTTTTGCAGCGTGGTGTGGATCAAGGTTTGGCCTTGAGTACGATCAAGGGCCAGGTTTCGGCTTTGACCGTCCTTTTTCAGCGGCCGATAGCCTCCAACGCTTTCGTTCGCACTTTTGTGCAGGGGGTTACACGTATCGTTCCTCCTGTTCGCTCCCCATTGCCGCCATAGGATTTGAATTTGGTGCTCTCAGTGTTGCAGGAATCTCCCTTTTGAGCCCCTGCGTGAAATTCCAATTCTGACTCTGTCTCAAAAGGTGGCCTTTTTGGTGGCGGTCACCTCGTTCCGCAGGGTTTCGGAATTGGCGGCCCTCTCTTGCTCATCCCCGTTGCTAGTCCTGCATCGGGACAGGGTGGTTCTGCGGCCTCGGCCGTCTTTTTTGCAAAAGGTAGTTTCAGCTTTCCATCTCAATGAGTACATTGTCCTGCCTTCCTTGTGTCTGCAGCCTGTCCACAGGAAGGAGAAGGCGCTGCACTGTCTGGATGTTGTCCGCGCCATCCGTGTTTATCTGAGTGCTACGGCTTCGTTTTGGGAATCGGATTCCCTGTTTGTCGTTGCAGATGGCCCTTGGAAGGGCCGGGCTGCCTTGTCGGCCACCATCTCTCGATGGATTCGCAACACGGTCTCTCAAGCGTATGCTATTAAGGGGCGTGAGCCTCCTTTTTCTGTTACGGCGCATTCTACTAGGGCTGTTGGGGCATCTTGGGCTTTTCGTCATGGTGCCTCCGTTTCTCAGGTCTGTAAGGCCGTGACTTGGTCTTCTGTTCACACCTTTGCCAAGTTCTATAAGGTGGATGTTTTGGCATCTGCGGATGCTGGTTTGGGGCGCAAAGTGTTGCAGGCGGCCATTTGAGGGGATTTTTTTGTTCAGTTGGGTTTGTGGTTTCTGTTGGCCCACCCCTCTTTTTTGGTACTGCTCTGTGACGTCCCTACAGTACATGATCTCCGACCTGTTCCCTGTGTCCTTCAATGAACGGGAGAGAAAATAGGATTTTGGTACTCACCGTAAAATCCTTTTCTCTCCGTTCATTGAAGGACACAGGTCCCGCCCGTCTGTGTGGGTGTGTACTCCTTTTTCTGCTTGTTACTAACTGGAGACTTGTCAGCAGGTGGGGGGGTTTGGCCACCGGCAGGTGATGAGGAAATAACTCCCTGCTTCACTAATTCAGTCTTTGTACTCTAACGTAGAAACAATATCCCTATAGGTTTATTCTCTTTTTCTGCTCTCTCTCTCGCTCTCTCTCTCCTATCATCATCCTTGCTTTTTTTTTATTTATTTGTAAACAATTCTATTTTACCTCCTTGCAATTGCAGGTATTAAGACTGTGTTTGCTGGATCCAGTTGTAATGACATTGTCTGTACAGAGCAATGTGTGATGAGTGGTCACTTTGACAAAAAGATCAGATTCTGGGATATAAGGTAGGACCTTTTCTGCTCTATTCCAGTATGCCCTTATGTTTGCATGCTTGTGGACTGTGAGGTGTGTGTGTATAATATATATATTAATATAATTTATTTTTTATATAAAGCCTATATGAAATTATAGGATTTACATAAAATGCAGAGCTTGGTATTATTTTATTTCTAAAATGGCTTTGGGAATTTGAGGGGAAAAAAAGGATAAGGCAGTTGGTATCAGAACGTTCATATCATCATAATGTTTTTGAAGTTTAAATTTCATCCCTCCTAGGATAGCTAAATTTAAATGCCATGAGCAATACGAGCAAGAGTTTCATGGATCTTAAAAGGTTAATTTTTTGGATATTATTGGCACATGATTCATCTTAAGATTTTTTTTATTTATCTTAGCGTTGTTGGACAGGATATGTGTAAATCCACAAACCCATAGTTTGATATTAACATGCAAGTGTTTAAAATATTTCTCTTCTTCTGCTTCTTTCACAGTTCGTCCATTAATGCTGTTGCTTGGTCTCCTTCTGGTACCTACGTTGTTAGTGTGGATAAAGGAAGCAAAGGAGTTTTATGGTCGGACTTTGGATCATCATTAACCAAGAGCCCACACTAGCAATAAGTGGCGCCAGTTATTTGATGCTTTGCTGCTTTGTCGCGAACTTCCTTGGAAATAGATTGTCAAGATAACAGCAGTGTGTAACGCTGCAATGTGCAGACCACAGGATTGTGCACAAGGCTCTGCACAGAGTGCTCCTCACTGGTACACTGCTCTGGAATGAAGGACTTATCAGTGCTTTAATGTTATGACACAGAGAACATATTATATGTTAAAAGATTACTATATAAAGATGGGTGAAAGACATTTTTAATGTACACCCAGAGTATAATGTATACTTCTGTTCTTTGTTGAGAGGCCATTTGTTTTAAATAGGCAAATATACCTTTTTAATATCAGTCTTACAAGGGGAGATCTGATTTTCTGTTTAGGAGATAAATGATTCCGTTTTATATGTCGATACATATAGGGGCTACAAGGCAATTTAAAGGGTATAAAGCAAAAAAAATGGGTTAATGGTTAGACCTAAAACAAAGGATTTTGTTCAATGCCAAATGTAGGTGTCAAGGGTATATTTTCCCATTTTAAACATCTCTTCTTAAAAGGCACTTTAAATGTGTATTAAATTGCCACCATATTGGTTAATAGGTAATGTATTATATGCTTTTATGTGGAATTTCAGGTATAACCATTTTGGTTTCAGAAAGGCTTGTGCGCACTGCACATCATGAATGGAAAAAAACATTTGAAACTGGTGGAGGGAGCTTTATGGTCGCCATGCATGGGCAGATCTCTTGCCAGGAGCAAAAGTTGCCCATGCACATTCACGCAATCACACTGCATCTGCAGCAACAAATGTCCTCTGCTTAAAGATAAAGATCAAGATCAAAATTAGGAGGGAAAAAACAATCTTCCCAGCCTCTCTCCCTTCCCCTTCAAAACAGTAAACATTCCCCCCCCCATTCTTCCTCCACCCCAAATGCAGGTTATTACTTACCTTCTCCAATGGCTGTGGCCTTCGTCACTGTCTGTAAAAAAATCTAGTGCTGCACTGCCCGCGTCTGCACATTTGCAGTATGTCCTGAAGACTTGAATGGGATGTTGCTCCTGAAGTACAGTTATATCCCATTCAAGTCTATAGGACATTAGTGGGCAGGCAGCTCAGCACTAGATTTTTAGACAGCCCCTGTAGGAGGTAAGCAAGGACCTTTTAAGGGAGGTAGTAATGACATGGTTTACTCTATTAGGTGGTTATGAGAAATCTGCAAAAACAAACCCTTAGGAAGTTCCTAACTACTTGTCATGGTTTGAGCATTAATCTCTACGTGGCACAACATTGCATCCCTTGCCAATATCGAGCGGTGTATGGCCACCATTTAGTCTTTACCTCTTTAGAAGTGAATGTTTACATAAATATGTAGGTGTTAAATAATGAGAATTTTCTCATGACAAAAGTGTGCGCGTGATTAAGCACTAGCTACTCTATTTGATCACTTAATATATATGTTTTAGGGATGCCCTGTTTTATGTGATATGATTATTTGTGTAATGGATGTAAATTATGCTTACACTGTAATGTGCCCTAAATGATTTACTTTTTTGTGTTTATTAAAAAAAAAAAAAACAAGGTTTAACAACCTGCATTATTATTTAGCAACCTACATGGCATGACCACACGAGGACCACCTTTTAAAGGAGAACTATGAGGTGAGTGCTTTTCACTCACCTCATAGTTCTAGCCGACCTGTGACAATGAGACTGTCACAGGTCGGCTCAGTAGATCGGGAGGTGAGCGAACACATACCGGGTTCGCTCACCTCTCGATCCTGTCACGGCTCTCTGCCGTGACAAAGGGAGGGGCTGGATTCCCCTCTCCCCGCTCCGATCTGCCAGCGCTGACTGGCGGAACGGACGGGGGAGGGGGTGGGTACACCTGGCTCTGCCTCTAGATAGGCAGAGCCAGCTGTCACTCACGCAGCTGGGCGGATCCCGTCGTCTAAGTCGGGATCCGCTCCGGCGTCTCGGTATACCGCGAGCTATAGCGGTATACTGAGCTTAGGGTGACGGGAGGACGCTAGTTTGTGTCCTCCCGTTACCCTAAGGAGAACTATGTGGAAAACACTGACCCCATAGTTCTCCTTTAAGGAATATTTTACTTCTAATATTTTTTAATACAGATCTAGTCCTAACATTTCTTCCAGACCTAAAGGGTCTGGTATCGTATGGGAGGGGGAACCCTACGCTTTTTTTTTTTTTTTTTTACAAGTGTCATTTTTGCCGCAGCAGGTTCTATACATTGTACAGATGTGCTACTTTGCAGGCAGTTTAAGGAAACCCCCAGGCATGATATTTTAAAGTAAAAGAATAAAAATTCCTTTAAGTAAAGTTAAAACACGGCTGCTTTAAAACAGTATTTTTAACCCCTTCGTGACGGGAGACGTACAGTGTACGTCTTGTCACTTTGTGCCTATATGACTGGCCACGTACACTGTACGTGACGAGTTATATCTGAGAAAGATCTGGGTGTACTGGTAGATTAAAGACTCAATAATAGCATGCAATGTCAAGCTGCAGTTTCTAAAGCAAGCAAAATACTTTCTTGTATCAAAAGGGGTATAGACTCCAGAGATAAAGACATCATCCTGCCTCTGTACAAAGCATTAGTAAGACCTCATCTGAAATTTGCCAGTTTTGGGCACCAGTTCACCAAAAGGATGTTGTGGAACTGGAGAAAGTGCAGAGAAGGGCGACCAAACTCATAAGAGGCATGGAGGAGCTCAGCTATGAGGAAAGATTAACTGACCTGAATTTGTTCTCTCTGGAGAAGAGGCGATTTAAGGGGGGGACTTGATCATCATGTATAAATACATAAATGGTCCATATAGTGCCAAATTTTACTATAACGCCACTGCAGAGGACAAGGGGGCACTCGTTGCGTCTGGAGGCAAAGAGGTTTAACCTTTGCATACGGAAAGGATTGTTCACAATTAGAGCTGTGAAAATGTGGAACAGAGTCCCCAGAAGCTAGTTCTAGCGAGCTCAGTTAATTGTTTAAAAAAAATTCCGGATGTATTCCTAAATGCACAGAATATTAGTGTACCACAACACATGGCTTGGGTGTTTGGGGTACCCTTTGTGTTACTGCGGTGCATTGATCTGTATGGACCTTAAATAATTTTGGAGTTCAAACAAAGCTAGAATGACTTTCCCCCCATTAAGCTCCAATAGCTGAAGGAAATACCTGATACACTATATTGCCAAAAGTATTGGGACACTCCTCCAAATCATTGGATTCAGGCATTCCAATCACCTCCATGACCACAGGTGTATAAAATCAAGCACCTAGGCATGCAGACGCTTCTACAAACATTTGTAATAGAATGGGTCCCTCTCAGGAGCTCAGTGACTACAAGCGTGGTACCGTGATAGGTTGCCACCTGTGCAATAAGTCCATCCGTGAAATGTCCTTGCTACTAAATATTCCACGGTCACCTGTTAGTGGTATTATAACAAAGTGGAAGCAACTGGGAACAACAGCAACTCAGCCACGAAGTGGTAGGTCACGTAAAGTGACAGGACGGGGTCAGCGCATGCTGAAGTGCGCAGAAGTCGCCAACGGTGTGCAGAGTCAATAGCTACAGAGCTCCAAACTTTGTGTGTCCTTCAGAGAGCTTCATGGAATGGGTTTCCATGGCTGAGCAGCTGCATCCAAGCCTTACATCACCAAGTGTAATGCAAAGCCTCGGATGCACTGTGGTGTAAAGCACGCCGCCACTGGACTCAAAGTGGCGACGTGTTCTCTGGAGTGACTAATTGTGTTTCTCTGTCTGGCAAATCCGTTGCCAGGAGAACGGTACTTGCCTGACTGCTTTGTGCCATGTGTAAAAGTTTGGTGGAGGGGGGGTTATGGTGTGGGGTTGTTTCTCAGGGGTTGGGCTTGGCCTCTTAGTTCCAGTGAAGGGAACTCTTAAGTCATTATCATACCAAGGCATGATGGGGATGGCCCCTTCCTGTTCCAACATGACTGCGCACCA